AGGTGGAAACTTGTTTTTTGTTTATGTTTTTTTTCTTCTTTTCGCAATAAAAAAAATTTTTAAAGTAAAAAAAAATACAATAGAAAAAAAAACCCTAAAAAAATAGGCACACTAGACATATTTTTCAAAGCATTAAGAAGTCCGTTTGCTTGGTTTTCTCACAATGGGATTTGAAAGACTCACTAACTAAAGCTGTAATTTCAGATCTGGGCAGAATTAATTTTTCTTAAACAGTACTTATTAATGATGTCATTTAGATTTCTTTCAGACTGAGGCAGTAGAAATGGTAGCACCTAAAGATTAGTTAATTTTTAAAATTAAATATAATAAAAAGACCCTGTTAATGGGAAATATTCAACTTGAGATTGGGTTTTCACAGGAGCTCTCAAAGCCCTCAAGTTACTTTCAGAGATATTTCAGAGTCAATGAGAAAATTGGTTTGTTATTGTATAAACTTTTTTTCAAATTTATCATAAACTGCTTAATCATGGCCCTAAGTAGTTATCCAATTAATTCTCAAGCCACCACAAACAGCAGATATGTCCACCATCTTCATTCTGCGGTTCTTCAGTTTAGAGGCAGGCTCAAATCTGTTCTTTGGGTCAACAGAACTACACTAGGTAAAAACAGGAACTTGAGTACTGGGTTCCTTAAATGAGGAATAATATTTAGAAAAAGTCCTAGGTGTGAAGTCAGATTTAGAGGCTTGCAACAATATCACTGGTATCAAAGCCCACTCTCTCAGGGGAAAGCCTGGGAAAGACACAATCCTTCACCTGTGAGATAACTCTGGCAGGGGTTTGACTGCTGTCTCCAGTCATTCTTCAGGGTACACTTTCTAGTATAAGAAAACTCATCAGGGGCAGCAGCAGGAAAGAAAGCAAGTTATCAGGAGAATTATCAAAAACTCTCAAAAAATTAAGGAGCAGTCAGTGGTAAGTCTTTGGAAAACTCAGTCCATTGATCTTCCCAGTTTTATACCTGCAATGTAACTCTAACTTGGACTTTGTTTATTTTTTGTCCAAGTAACATCAAGGTGGTTATACTTTCCTCATTTTCATCTTCTATTGATATAACTTTTTTTTTTTTTTTTAAATAAGACAGGGTTTCTCTGTGTAGCCCTGGCTCTCTGGAACTCACGCTGTAGATCAAGTTGTCCTCGAACTCACTGAGATCCTTCTGCTTCTGCCTCCCAAGTGCTAGGATTAAAAGTATGACGTACCACCTGGTTGGCGTAACTTTCCAGAATACTGTCATTTGCCCAAGTATTCTTAATCTAAGATTCTCATCAGAGCTGGGTATACTGCCACATGACCTCAATCTCAGCTAAAGTAGGAGGCTCTCAAGTGTGAGACCTGAGTGGGTTACAATGTGAGATTCCCATTTCACTACCTCTTAAGAATCAGATTAGATATATCTCCTCTTATTTGTAGGCATTTGTAGACATTATTTGTTCTCATTGCTTCTATGTTACATTGTACTATGCGGATCTGTTAATATTGCCTTATTTTACTGGTTAAACTCTGAATTGTCAGAATAAGGAAATCTCTGTATACCACACGCTAAGTAAACGTGCGATAAATATTTATAACTCTTAACTGAATGACTATCCTTTATAGTAAGGAGCAAGAAAGATTATATATAAAGCTGATGAAGGTGTTATCAAAAGTCAGAAGTATGTAAGAACCCATAATATGCTGGATCTGCTTTAGCCAGTACTAAAGACTTCAGGAACAGACAGAGGAACCGTGAACACTCTCTCCGACAAGTGCTCTCAAATGAAATCAGCTGGAAGCAGTTTTCATTAAGATGGATTGAATGTGGCATCGTGAGAAACACTTTATCAAATGTAGTGTTTTACTTAGTGATTAACTATATACCAGTTGATGAAGCTCCCTAAATCCTTTGTAATCCTACCACTCCAATAAACATTTAATGAGTATATAAGTTCAGAAAGCCTAGTAGAGGATTTAAACCTTCAATCTTGTTTTTATTTACTCTTGGAACTCAATTTCTCAATTCTAGTGAAGAAAGCTGGTGCTTGAGGCTCATCTGTTGCCCTGGTAAAATTAATGTGCCTTCTAAAGTTTAAATTAAACATGATATTTAAGATCAAAGACATTTAGGCAAAGTGCCACAGTAACTAACAGTCACACTTGCTTTAAAATGTCTGAACACTGGCAAATTGTTTTCTCAAAATCATTTTTTAATTAAAATAAGTGATTTGTGCTAATTTGGAGATGTGGAACCTGGAAACAGAGGGTCTTTCATACTACGTCCTACAATGCAGTGGACAGCAGACATGCATGTGTGCTGGAGCCCACACCCTACCTACTTGTGGTGAAGCGCATGAATGCTCACTTCACTTCTATTATCTACTACTGTTATCACTCTGGAGGTCAGAGCATTTATGAGTTTCCTTGTCTCTACAATGGGAATATATAGTCTAAGTGTCCCTATCTCACTAATTAAAGGGTTCAGGAGAATGATTTGGTAGTCACGTCTTATCATATAAATATGAAGCAGTATTACGATTCCTGGACTTTACTCAATAGGACATGCTGAAGCTCTTAGCACTTGGGAGGTGGAGGCAGGAGGACATAGAGTTCAAACCAAGTCTAAGTTTCCTGTCATCCCAAAAATAGTGGAAAAAAACCTTGATGATTGTAAAAAGTATATTGACTTAGATGATTTTCAACAATCTGACCACCATGTGGTTTTTCGTTACCTCATAAAAATATCCATTAACTACAAATTGGAAAAGGAAAGTGAATGAAGAAAAACGACCTGGTGGAGGAAAGAATAAAGACAATTTAGCAGTCCTAAGAGGTGAGTAAATTTTGATAGGATTCTAATAAACAAAACATGTAAGTATATGTTTCAGCAGTTTGCCACTGCTAAAACACCTAGACACTAATATGAGCATATGATCAATTGTTTCATTAGAAATATCCAGGAGTTAATAAACAAGAGCTTATATTCCTCTGGAGATTATCAGTCTGAATAAATCTCCATGACAATTTAATAAAAGTTCTTTTGTTGGCATTAAATACCATATTTAAGCATCTGCATTTAAAGCTGTAACATGTGAGGTATACACAGAAACTTTTGAAATGAAATTGAGGAAGCATCTATGTTTGGAATTATTATTAGTCTTATTTTAAGTAATAACCATATTATGGTTAAGTAGGAGATTTCACTGTTTTGCAAAATTAATTTGTTTTGCAAATTATTAGGGGTAATAATTTGGTTTGAAACGGTCTCATCAAAACCTAACAAACATAAGATATTCTAATGTTTCTGTGAAGTTTAAATTTTTAACTCTAAAAGCTTAGTTGCTACAAACATTAAAAGTAAGCATGAAATTTTAATTATTTGTTGATTAAAAATAATGTTTTGTATGTATGCATGGGCTGGGGAATCAAAACCAGGACCTCACATATGCTAAGCACAAACTCTACCAGTAAGTTACATCCTTAGTTCTAAATGTTTAGATTATTTAAACATTTTAATTATTTTCTGTTCCAGTTAATATTTTACAGCCTGAATCTGAGTAATAAAATAAAAATTAATCATAAAAATGTACTGATTGAACCTGGGGATGTGGCTGTGCAAATGAGTTTGATCCCTGGCATCATGTGAAAACACTGGGCACTCAGACAGTCTGGAGTTCCTGTGACAGAAAAGCAGAGAGACGGCCCTCTGGATCATCTCTTTGTCCCGAGTATCCCTATCTATAGTATTACACATAGTGCCTAACCACTGGTAATTCAGCGTCATCACACTTCGGTGCTTGTCTTCAAGTAAGCCTCATTATATTTCATTATGACCCATACAGAGAAAAGTAAAGATGCTGCTTGTACAAATGTGCTGTGAAGTGTGGAAAGGTGAACACATAAAAATATTTTGAGAGAGAAAAACCTACATTTATCTAACTGTTGTTGCAGAATATTGCTGTAATTGTTTTATTTTGTTATTAGCTGAAATGCATCTAGTATGAGTGCTGGGAACCAAACTCTACTCTGCAAGAGCAGTATACACTAAGTGTGGAACTATCTCTCAAATTCCTAATTAGCTGTCTTAATCTCTTAGTATCCTCAAGTTATTTATAAGTTATAATTAAACGGAGGTGGGAGAAACAGGTTTAAGGCCTGGGCCACAAAAGTACATTGAGGGCAGTTTGTAATTCAGTGAGACCCTTCAAGTTAAAAGTTAAAGGGATGGGTGTTGCTGGGGCTACAGCTCAGTCGAACTCTTGTTTACCATACAGGAAGTATGGCTCAATTCATAGTATAGCAAAATCAAACTAAAAAACTCATACCCTCTAGCCACAATTAAAAACTCGAAGACAAAACAAGACCAGTACCTTTCTGTCCCCCAAATACCTGCCCCATCATAGAACTGAATGAATAAATAGATATTGTGTAAAGTGATTGGGATAGAAGTATGGCAGCATTGCTTGACTTCTTTCTGATTTTGGAATATTTGTATAGTCTTCATCTTTTGATTGTCCCTAATTCAAATACTGGAAATTCACAGCTTCTGAGGATCATGCGGCTGCAACAGTTTTGTACTTTGGAGTAATCTAGACTATGATTTCTAGGTTAGGGATGCTGAATCTGCACACTTGGTCCTATGAGGTTCCGTCATGCACTGAGGGCTTAGAATGCAGATTTACAGGTAAATTTAGACTACTTACAGGAATAAGCATTCTGGTAACGACTGAAGACAAATTTCTATCATATAACTGAAAACAATATAAACATATAGTTCCTTGTAAATATGTCCACCAACCCTCGTAAGTTCTTCTGCAAAGGCTACAGGTGATATTAATATAATGTACCAATGGATATGGGCATCTTGGTGAAGATTAGGTTGGTAGATGAATGGAAAAATCAAGACTTCAATCTCAACACTGTAAGAAAGAGGAAACACTGCCTCACACCAAGTGGTAAACAATACAGTACAATCTTAATCAGAATCTGGAAGGCTGGACTTACGTCTCGGGCTTTCACATAGAAGGCCTCTTGGAAAGCAGCTTCTAATGAGCCAATAAAAAATACAGGATGGCAGTCACCATATCTACAGGAAAAATTATGAATATTAATGAAGAAATGTTTGAAATTCATACCAAAGCCTCACACAAACTGAATCAATGACTGGTAAGCAAATGTTGCGGCTAATATCTAGAACAAACCAAATATTAAATAACTTCTTTAATTGCCTGAATGAGATATGTAAATTTTAAAAATTCTTCTTGGTCTGTACCAATATATTAGAACACTGGAATTTTTAGCAGTAAGTAAACAGGTTTAATAAATATCATGAATCTATATCACAAGAAGTACTTCTTGGCTACTTAATTTCATCAGATTTTGGAGTTACAATAACTTTTTCTCATTTTAGTTCATTCATTTATTTGGGAATTCTACCATAGAAAATTGATTATTAGAAAGTTTCCATATTATAGTATTGCCAGAAAATATAACACTAAAAGAGCAATATCATTTATGTCAAATAGAAAATTAAATAGTAAGAAGTCTCTTAAAACACCTCAATAGACTCCAAAATATATAAAGAACTTACTAAAACTCTTAAAAGAAATGCTAAATAATCCAAAAACAAAAATTAAAAGAAAAATTCACTTACATTTAAATTTTAATTATCTCTGAATTTAGTATTGTGTAAGTGATTTTTGTTTCCCCTAGGATATACTAAACACTAGTATGATATATCCTAGTCCTTTGAGAAATATAAGTCAGTAGAGGAGTGACCCATCTATTCAACGGAATACATTTCTGCATGGCCACAAATGGTTTATTAGTTACACCACACTGTATTCCTCTATCAATACTGTGTGATCGATAAATAGATCCTTTGAATACTCTAATTGATTATTTAAAATTAAAATTGCACCAAAAAAAATTACAGTAATAAAAGAGAACATCAATTTTAAGTTAATGTCCTAACCCTACCTTGAGGAAAACTCTGCTGTAAACTGTGATAAGGCATCTCCTCCATTCTCTGCGTTTTCTGGCACTAAAAACAAACAAAAGAAAAACAAAAACAAAAAAACAAAACAAATAGACACAAAAAACAAACCACATAACATCTAATCCCACATATAAGAAATATATTTAATCAATAAAGAGGAAATAAAATTAAGTGTAGCTTCTGTGATATATCTGGTGGGATACTTTAACATACATCAGACAATTTTATCAAGCAGAATAAAAAGAATCTTTTTAAAAAAAATCTCAGTGAATAGATACAATTCTGTTAAGCATCTAAATTATGTGTCATCATCAATTTGGATTTTAATGTTTTCTTGAAATAGATACCTTGTGATTAAATTAAATAAATATTTCAAAATATTTTAGAGGAACTAATTGGAAAATTGCCAACTTTATGTAACTCTATCAATTCTGTCAAAAGGAACCCCTATTTTTTTTTTTTTTTTTTTGGTTTTTAGAGACAGGGTTTCTCTGTAGCTTTGGTGCCTGTCCTGGAACTAGCTCTTGTAGACCAGGCTGGCCTCGAACTCCCAGAGATCCGCCTGCCTCTGCCTCCCGAGTGCTGGGATTAAAGGCGTGCGCCACCACCGCCCGGCAGGAACCCCTAATTTTACAGAATGAATAGGCCACCTAAGGAAGTCATTTTGCATATAGCATCCTTTATTATTCTCTACCATACATCTCAAAAGCAAAAATGAGAAAGGAGGCACATATATTCTACTTTTTTCCTTTTTCAAATGGATACCAACAATGAATAAAAAGATATTGTTAGTATTCTTCACACTGACGTCGCTGACAAGTGGGAAACAAGTACTAGCAACAGAAAGTACAGGTGTTTGCCAATCCACTTTTAAGGTAAAAGTCAACAGAATCGGAACTAATACACTGAAACATTTTACTACACATACTTTTGGACATTGTTACTAGTGTGTTGGAAATGTGGAAACCACAACTCAAGACTATGGTTCTAATAAAGCATGCCTACCTCTTACATCTCATCTCTCTAAACTAAAGGTCAGGAAGGGATTTTAAATCCCTGTTGTTGCTAAGTTTAGATCTAAAAGGGAGAATTGCAATGTTGGTTCCAAAAAGTTACAAATACTCACTCATTGGAGATTTTCTTAGGGCAGAGGATGGCATGCCAAATACTTCTCCATCATCCACTCCAAATTCTGAAGCATCTTCAAAGTCATCTCCATCACTATCACTAACCATATGAACATCCGTGCTTTGCTATTTAAGAAAAGTCCCGGTTAGATTCATATTGCCTTAACATATCAAATTATAAAGTTACATTACTGTAGTAAAATAAAAACTTTAATAAGAAATCATTTCTTAGTGTTAAATTTAATATTCTCCATTTTAAAGCTCATAAATATTACTAAACTTGTTATGAAACCTGCAGTCCAAACATCAGAGACTGACAAAATGAAGGGGAGTTATAAGCTCACCAAGGACAGAGATTCTTGTGATAGCTCTAGTGTGCAGTATGCAAGTAAGTGCCCCCAAACTTAGGAAACAGATACAACTAGAAAAGTCAAGAGACAAATGGAAGCCACAAGTCTCTCAAAAAGCTCACACTGTCTATATCTGGCAAGAAGGAACACGATCGCATTCAAACTTGTCATTGTCTTACTGCAGTAACTCACAGTAAGTCAGACATCAGTGAGTTATCCTCACAGTGACATTAGGAGATACATAAAACACACATCTATGAAATTCCATTGTAGTATCATACTAGACACAAACTATAATAGCATGTTTTCATTCAATAAGCTTGTATTGAGAATTTACTATGTGGTTGGCGCCGATAAACTTACCCTACTTATTCTTTATTACCAACATGGTGACATTTAAGGTATTAAAAAATACCAGTTTCAAAATACAAATTTAACTTCTATTTCCTAGATTAAGAGAGTATTATAAAGTGTTAAGATTTAAAACATTTGAACTGGGTTATGAGTACCAATAAGTGTTCAAGCCTTGGCTGAGATGAGGGTCTAAAACAAAATATCTGGCTAAATGGCAATCCTATGTACAACAAATGGCCCATAAACACTACTTTGTAAATGAATTATTTTTTCAAGGAGTGTTTCTTTGCGTAACAGTCTTGGCTGCCCTGGAACTCACTTTGTAGACCAGGCTGATTTCAAACTTAGAGATTCACCGGCCTCAATCTCCTCAGTATTAAAGGTGTGCACCACCACACCTGGAAGTAAATGAATTTTTTTACTTTCTAATATGGTTCTATGTACATAAGTCATAAAAACATAGAAACTATTTGACCATTTTGTCTGTGTAGAAGAGCATAACTTAAAAATAATTATTTTAACAGAAAAAAAGAGTAGATTTATTTTTCAGTGTTGTGTGTGTGTGTTCATGTATGTGTGTGGAGGTCAGAGAACAAATTTTAGCAGTGAGGCCTCCTTCCACTGTGTGGGTTCCAGACATCAAATTCAGGTCATCATGTGTGGCAGCAAGCACATTTGTCCACTGTATAATGCTGCCACCCTGCCTCTTCCACTTTGCATCCACTTGATAGCTGGGTACTGCTGAAACATCTTAGGACTCTACTATGTATTAGAAAAGCCTTAGTTTTACATATAATTCTAATCTTAACCTTAGAATTTTGTTCTACAGACTCAAGATATCCTCCTGGTTTAAATATTCCACATTTAAAAAAAAATTCAAAACCTTTCTTCACCTCAAAAAATCTTATTCATTTACTTTTGATCTATTTACTTGTGTGTATGCACGTGCATGTGCTTTGGTACACATGTGGAGGTCATAGAACAAACTGGAAGTACCTCCCTCTACCCTGTGGGTTCTATACATAGAATCCAAGTTCTCAGACTTGGTTTCAAGAGCCTGTATCCTCTGACCCTCTTGCCCACTGAAAAGCTATGGCAGGGTTCCTCATCAAAAAAATACACTAAGATGAACATCTAGTGTAAGATCAGCAGTTCTCAACCTCTGAGTTGCGACCCCTTTGGAGAGGGTCAAATGACCCTTTTACGGGGGTCACCTAAGACCATCTGCATATCATATATTTACATTATGTTTCATAACAACTGTAAAATTACAGTTACAAAGCAACAACAAAAATAATTTCATGATTGGAGCTTGCCACATGAGGAGCTGTTTTAGAGGGTAGCAGCATTAGGAAGTTTGAGAACATCTGTGTAAGATTCAGTCAACTATCTGTAACATGATGGTGCCGTTAACTCTGAGGCCCGAAGAGCAAGGGCTCAATATTTGTAAGATTCACTGTATGTTTCTTTCCAGTGTCTAGTCAGGTTCACATGCAAGTAGAAAGACACCAAGGACCACACTGAAAACCTCACAATTTCCACCGACTAGGCTACCATCTTAGTATCCACTGAGTCTTGCTTAGTAGTATTTAACACTTCCAGAGTGACAGAGAAAGAATGGAGGTTGAGAAACACTGGGCAGAAAATACTGCTCTCTCTCTCTCTCTCTCCCCCTCCCTCTCCACTCCCTACCCTCCTCTTCTTTCTCTTATTGTCCTGTATCCACAATGTTTCTCCAAACAGAGTTTTCAAATACTACACCTCCTATAACAACAGAGCCTCACTTCATAAACAATGGTTTTAACTTTCTCTATGACACGGTACTTAGCTTTTATACAAAGCATGAAATTCCCTTAGAATCTCAGAAAATAAAATCGTACAACTACAACCTCTTCGAATAGAGGTATCTAAAAGCCAATTTTATTAAAAAATATATTTCAAATATGAATTATTGAAGTATCTGCAAGAATGAGCTACTTAATTATGTATAAGGAACTACCAATCTCTCCACATTTTCTTGGCAGCTAACTAACAGGTTAGGAAAAGCTTTTTTATAAAAATGAGATAAACAATCTTTTCCCCCATTAATGTTTGTTGATAAGAATAGATAATCTTTTGGTATCCATTATGGTTGCACTAAAATCCTTTGAATCTTGAGAATCACTGAATTGATTTTTGAGCCAGTTAAGAAAACCTGATACTCTGTTTGGCTGCTCCGATCATTTGTTCATTTTGCAAATCCCCACTTTTAAATCTGGACTTATTTAAAAGATAATAGGCTATGATCTTCCAGCAGCACTGTATGATTTATGCAGACAATTATGATGCTGACCACTACGTTTTATAACACATACATTATAAGACAAGTACCTGGATCAAGAAAAACCTCCTGGAGGAGATGATAGTAAAACTGTTTGAAATAAAAATTGAGAACTAATGTTTATCATTAAAACAAAAAGAACTGGATCTGCAGTTCCTTTTGGCAGACAAGTATGAACCACCTATGTGATATAGACAGCAAAGCTCCATACAGTACATATCCTTAATGCAGAGCTCAAATACAGATTTCACTGCTTCAGAATCTATTTGGGAACAATGGTGTTGAAAACAATTGTACAATACATGGAGAAAATCTCAAACAAATAACTGGGTATTTAAAAATATAGAATTTAGGAACGCAAATTGAATTATCAGTTGTACAGCAGAAATTAGATTTAAGGCCCACTTCATGAGCTGGAACTCATGTATGATACTGCTTGAGTGGCCAAGACCCTAGGACCAAATAGGCCATTGGCCTAGGGGAAAATCAAATACCATTGTTCTGCTAAAGAAACACAACAATAAAATAATAAAATGACTCCTAAAAACCATTCTGCTACACCTATAGATCAGTGTTTCACTCAGTCATCATCAGAGAAGCTTCATCTTGCAGTGGATGGGAATTAAAACAGAGATCGACAAATGGACAATGTACAGAGAGGGAGAGCCCCTGGAACACTGTTATGAATGGGATGTCTTCATCAAACCCTTCCCTCTGTAATGAGGAATCTACTCCAGAGAGGACATGGAAGAATAGAGAGTAGAAGACAAAGAGGTGACCGATGATTCCAAAGGAAACAGTGTCCTTCAGATGCAACAGGACTTCTGGACAAATGCATTCATAGAGACTTAGGCAGCATGCACAGGGTCTGAACATGGTCAAGCCAGGAAGGGTCTCAGCGCTGTGGCGGGTAAATGGATATAGGCTCTCACTCCAACTAAGACGCTATCTGCAACTGAAACTCACTTGAAAAGAAAAAAAAAAATGAGGTTTCTCCAATAGAGCCTCACTGGGTGTATTAACCACACTTCAGGGTAAGCCGCATAGCCAGCAGTAGACGCTAACACAAAACTAATTTGATGGTATTTTTGTAAAGTTTTCGTCTCAAATTACTTTGTTTGGGAATCTCGTACTTATTGTTCTTTGTTTATATATTCTGTATTCCATTTTCATGAGTTTGTATATGAGGGGTTGTGTGTGTGTATGTGTTTCTTATTTTTGTTTTGCTGGGTTATTGTTTGTCTGCTTGTTTGCTTGTTATTTAAAGAGAGAGAGAGAGAGATAGGAAGAGTGCGGAGTTTGTGAGTGGGAAAGATCTAGGAATAACTTGAGAAGGGTAACTAATTAGAATATGGGGAATTTTTTTTAAAAAAACTTATTAGAAATTAAAATAATTACATCATTTTCCCCATTCCCTTTCTTTCCTCTAACTTTTCCTATCTATCTCCTCCCTGGCTTTTTTTTTCTCTCTTTCTCTCTTCCTCTCTCCCTCCTTTCCTCCCTCCCAGGCCTCTTTTTCTTTACTTGCTGTTACACACACACACACACACACACACACACACACGTACATAAATAAATCTGAGCAGTGAACATAACTTTCCAGGTACATATTCAGCAACCAATTAAAGTGCTCTTCCCTGGAAGACTATGTTTCCAACTCTCAGCATTCCTTAGTTGCCTAACAGTTCCTTGTTGAGGTCCCATGGGATTTCCCCTTTTCATGTTAGCATGTCACTTGGGGCCAGCCTTGTTCAGGTTTGTTTAGGCAGCCATGTTAGGGAGACTTCATTGGTGTAACTTTTCTGATATTTCAAGGAGAAAAAAATGTCATAGCAATTTCCCTGTTGCTCTAACTCTCACAATCTTTCAACCTGACTTCCACTATGGTCCCTGAACTGCAGCAGTCCTGCTGGAGCGGGTCAGCTAAAGTGGGCTCCACAAGGTCACTTCTCTGTATTTTCATCTGTTGTGGTTTGCTGTAATAGTCTCCTTTCCATCCGTTTCAAGGAATTTCTGTTGTTGTTTGTTTCTGTAATTTTTGGATGAGGTGAGATCTAGAATTAGGTGTATGCACTTATTTTTAAAGGGCAACTTTAAAGTCAAGCCATGATGGCGCACACCTTTAATTCCAGCACTTAGGAGGCAGAGGCAGGCGGGTCTCTGTGAGCTCAAGGCCAGCCTGATCTACAAAGTGAGTTTCAGGACAGCTAGGGATACATACAGAAACCCTGTCTCCAAAAAAAAAAAAAAAAAACAATAAATAAAAAAATAAAAAATCAATCAATCAAACAAACTAAGAAAAAAGGTTAACTTTTAAAAGTTACATTTACCTTAAAACTATAACTATGGTAAGGAAAAATAAACCACGACCAACCAAAAAAGCTAGAATTTAAAATCAGAAGAATTGGGGCTTTATCATATCATATAATAATATGATATGATACCAACCATATCATGATGCAAATGACTTTGTATGAGTGTCTTCACACTGTAATTGTAAAATGTGACTAATATAAACCCCTAAAATTCTGTGAAAATTCAAAGACATGACATCTTACAAAAATTAATAATATAAGCTAACTTTAAAAGTTGAATTCAATTTTAGTCACACGGTAAGAAGAAGCCAATGGTGAATGAAGTCAACAGAAGGTAAGGTTACAGGCTTCTAGTGGAACATACTGAGAAAGAAAAACATTCCATTTGAGAGGAGCTAGGCTTGCAGGGTTTATTTAATTTGGTGACTGTGTGTTGTATATACACATGAATGACAAGCCATGTGTGCCACAGTGCACATACAGAGGTCATAAGACAATTTGTGGGAGTTGGATCCAGGGACAGAATTCAGGTTGTCAGTCTTGGCAGCAAGAACCTTTACTTGTTGAGCCATCTGTAAGAGTTTTCTGTTATTGATTTTGTTTAGTTTTATTTTAAGATGAGAGAAAAGACTAATAGATAGAGATAGAGATGAAAAAAATCCAAGAGAAACCCATGCCTGCTAGATCAGTATTACAGAAAGGTTAGCAGGAGTGGAATCAAAATAATAGAATAAAACCTCTAACAGTGAATAAGCTTCTCAACTAACCAAAGCAAATAGCAAGTTTAATACTGATACAAAAATACATCTTTTAAAAGAGCAAAAAGAAGAATTCATAAAAATCCTTACAAATCACATCAACTGGGGTACTTTCAAAGGACCTTTTAACCCACAGGAATATGCCTGCCTCTGCCTCCCAAGCACTGATATTAAAGGCCTGTGCCACTGTTGCCCAGCTTTTTTAATATTCTTAAAGCTTAAAAGATATAGGTATTATTAGTTCATTACATATTTAGTATAATATGTAAAACCACTGAGACTTGAGCTTTTTGATCATGAAACTTTCTTTAAAATTCAATCTCCTTATTAATTATTAGTCTGTTCAGATTTCCTTTCCTTTATTATTCAGTCTCGGTAGAGCTATTTCCTGTAGACTACACAATCTGTTTGAATACACATGTTCAAAGGAAAATAATCCTAGGCTGATCTGTGAGGATGTGTTGCAGGATCCCCAGGGGATGCCTAAACTCTCAAATTGTATCAGACATATATATTGATGCCCCCCCCAAAAAAATAGCAATACATAAATTGAATGTTATTTTCAACTTAACTAAGCATTTATCATGGGCTATTATTGTAGCCATAATTTTTGTGGTCCAAAGCACAGTAGCCAAATTGAATAAATTTCTATTATTCCTTTCATGGTTTTGTGAAAAGAAGATCCATTCTCATTGTAGATCTTAGAAACCACAGCATAAAGTCTATATAGTTGTTGTGTTATATATTATAAACTATATAGACTTTATGCTGTGGTTTCTAAGTTTTTACCTTTTCCTCTAAAGCAGTGGTTCTCAATCTTTCTAATCTGAGGCCCTTTAATATAGTTCCTCATGTTATGGTGACCCACAATCATAAAATTATTTCAGTACTACTTCATCACTGTAATGTTGCTACTGTTAGGAACTGTTATATAAATATCTGATAAGTAGATAATCTTAGATGACCTCTGTGAACGGGTCATCTGACATTCCCTTCTCTTCCCTGGCCAGGGTCTTCTTGACCCAGAGGCTGAGAACCACTGTCATAAAGAAATCACTACAGTGTTTCTTTTGTTCTGTTGGTTCAGTTTGATTTAAAATGTAGTACAAATTCATTGCCTCCCGGGAGCTAGAGAGATGGTCAGACACTAGCTGGAAGACCAGGGGAACTACGTTTGACTCTCAGCAGTTACATGGCAGCTTATAACTTCCTGTAATTCCAGTTCCCATGGATCAGACATCCTCTCCCGGCCTCCACAGCCACTGAATGCACATGGTGCACAGACATGCATATAGAAAACATCCATAAACATAGAATAAAAAGAATGGAAAAAAGTTTAAAGCTTTCAAATTTGGTGCCTCCTCAAGGACTTTAGGTCTGGATAATCTGTCCATTAAGATGTCCCTAAAACTGCTACATTGCAGTTTGTTTCTCTTTGATTTTGTGAAAAAGACTGCTTTACACCTTTAGTATTCCAATATTGGTTATGTGTGTGTCCTTTTAAAGTCACAATGACTTCACAGTATGAAATAGGAGGCTACTGATTAGCTTAAAACATTAAGTCATAGTAATTATGCTTTCTTTCCCATCCTTTTAACCAAGATCAAAGTTAGGCACAGAAATGTTATCTATAAACATGGTACAGGATTAAGACAATGCCTTTTAATATATCCATACGGATACATAGAAACAAATTAAAACAAAGATAATCCATCTTATTTGCTCCTTGATATTGTTCTACAGGGTCCGTGTATAGTGCTATCAATGAATTAGGGATTTATTAGCTCTGAGTATCTTGGTGTAAAGTATATACTGTCAACTTATAAGTTACAGAACCTGGAGGCTCATTCCCAATAAAATACACTCAATAATGCAAAACAAAACAAAACAAAAAAAACCAACCACCCTTTGTTAAATTGACAGCTCTGTGTAAAACTCATCCAAACAACAATCTGACTTCTGTATGTTGAAATGTGAAACTAGCAGAACAAGGAACACTTCAGTAATAATAATAATCTTGCGTGGAGAGTTTCTGCCTTTAAAGTTTGACTGAGACATCATTCACGGTACATTAACTTTACCAATGCACAGCTAAGGGAGAGAATAAAAAGAATAGGAAGTGGGCAGGTGAGTGGAGGATATGAGCCTTCAGTTCAGTGAAAAGCCGGCAAACAGGCTTACCTCTTCTGATTGCTCACGAGTCTGCACAGGTGAAGTTCTTCTTCCCACAGTAAGTCGATGGCAGGGATAAGAGAGCCCTGATTCCGCAAGACACATCTGCAGGAAGTAGAATGTATCATTTTAAACAAAGCGCAGTTATCTTTCATAGATGAATTTTCTATTTCTATCATTCCTATAATTTCTGGAGCTAGGTTAGAAAGAAAGCTTACTCTGTTAGCCTGGGCATTACATTACCAAGGCTTTGAAACTCTGAAACTTTTCCAAACCTAAGATACTATGATAAACGAGGCATGGTGGCGCACACCTTTGATCCCAGCAGTTGGGAGGCAGAGGTGGGCGGATCTCTGTGAGATCCAGAATAGATGGAACTGCATAGACCCTGTCTTAAAAGGGGGTGGGGAGCACTGTGGTGGTCAGGACTAAGTCTCATTAGAAAACAGAACAGATAAGAGAAACCAGAAATTGTACATAAAACCAAATTATACAGTTGGTTTGAATACCAATTCCTATTGTATTCCTACCACATTCACTCACAGAATAAAATCCCAGTTTCCTAGTTTCCAGGGTACATGAGGAAGAGTATCTGCCAATGGCAATGATGTCTTTATCTTACTACACAGTTACAATGCTATTTATACATCAATACTAACACACAATTGTAAAGATTATAAGGGCTTATGAAGCTAAAATGCACATGAAGAACTTACATGGTTTACATTCTGTTTACAATCCTTATTACCCTTGTAATCAAGAACACTATCCAAAGAATCTATCCTGCTTAGCAAAAACAATTAAGTAACATATTTTTGCCTATTAAAGCTTATAGTATATTTGATAGTAAATAAAATAAATTGAGGTTAAAATTGAAATTGGCCAAACAAAAAAAAAATGACTGAAGTTTGAGTTTCATCATAAGTATCAATTAACTTTTAAGGAAATGGATTCAAAGAAAATACACTTAAAAATTTAAATCTGTTTCAGATTTAGTATGAAGAAAATACAATGGAAAAGGGTAACTTCAAATATACTTAACAAAGCAATTTTGAATGCCAATAGTTTGTGGTGATTATCAGTAACATTTTTATAGCATTATAGTGCATGCTAAATACGATTTATTATGTAATGATATTTTATTCTCATGTTATCTCAGTGAATTCCTGTGTCTACAGACTACTTAAATTTCACGTCTTTCTAACTATGTAGAAGTAAAACATGGTGGCACACATTGTAACTCAAGTTCTGCGGGGGAGGGGGTTGGAGGGGCAATATCTTCTTCAGGCTTTTGTGTGCTATGTATGTACATGGTATACTTACTTGCAGGAAAAACACACATACACATAAAAACAAAACAATGCTTAAGGTTGGAGGTGGAGCTTAGTGGAAGGGCACATGCTCAGCATGCTTGATTTCCATCACTCAAATCAATAAAACTGTTAAATAACCAAAATTAATGTGTGGGTATCCCAGGCAAAGCAAAAGGCACACATTTTTTGTATTTAATGTAATTACATAAGTCAAACTTTCTCTTATTAACAGAAATAAAATATGGTATTCTTGGCACACTGAAAATATCCTTTGGTAACTTTGGGAGGTGTGAATTAATGTGACATAAAGTGAAGAAATACAAATATCTACAAATTAATAAATTCATAGGCAGCAGACAATAGTGGGTGAGGCAAAAAGAATTCATATATGTTTTAAGCCTAATAATTTTAAATCAAATACTGGAATGAAAAATACCAGCTTCACATAAACACCTAAGTATGCTCAATCACATGTGATGTGTGCTGACACAGAAATGTGCTGAAAAAAGTCACGTGTTTAGCCAGGCGTGATGACACACACTTTTAATATCAGTACTTGGGAGGCAAAGGCAGGTGTACATCTGTGTGTTTGAGGGAAGCTTGTGTTTTCCATATCACAGGTGAAAAGACTTAAATAGGTTCCCCAGTAAAAGATCAACCCAAAGGGGTTTAGGAATACAGCATGGTTGGTAGAGTATTTGCCTAGTATGAACAAGACCAGGGGTTGCTATCTCTAGCTCCACACAAACTCAGTGTGCACCTGTTACGCAGACCTGGAAAGTTAAAACCAGAGGGTCATTAGAATATAATAACCCTTGGTCATACAAAGAACTTGAGGCTAGTCTTGGAATAGAGAGACTTAAACAACAAAAACCAAAATCAACTTAACTCAAAGATTCTGTTATATCATAATTCATTCCCACATTGCTTAATAAATGCTGCCTAAATAAATGAGATTCATTTTTTGATTAGATATAAAATATAGTGTCTGTCTTAAGGGAACATGTATACCAGGTGAGAAGAGAGATGAACAAAACAACAAGAATGGAATCTTCTAGAGGTGGGAAAGTTGGAAGGAGTATAATTTCATGCCTATAGCTCACTGGCTAATTATGCTAAATGAACTCCCATTACACAGCATAACCCACTACATTGGAATCTGAGAATTGTAAGTCTTTAAAGCAGTATTAAAGATGGGGTAAATAGGAAAAACAGCTTTCGCTGTGTTTTCACATCCTTTGCATCCACGGTATTTTGTACCTACTTTTAGTGCTTATACATATATATCTTTGTGTGTGTCTCATTTCCTCTTAGACATATGGACAGGACCTTTTGCACTTCAAGGGCCTTCTAGTACTTAGTTTAATCCTTATTTTGTCCATGTTTGACAAATGGTCAAAACAATTGTTATTTAGAATCTAGTAATTCAGAAAGACCATGACATACTGATTGTTTTCCTAGACAAAAATATTACACATAGAACTACCGAAAGATTATTTACTAGTTATTAGAGAGGTTAGTCATAAGTAGGAGTACTTCATTTCTGCCTTCTCATTAATAAGCACAGATCAATTTATTACAGGGAGTGAAGTATCTAAGTAAAACTCAGAATACAGTCTAAAACCCAGAAAACACTCAAAAAAAAAAAAACAAAACCTTACTGTAAAGACACAGTAGTGTTGGTTTTAAAAGGATATCATGGTATTCAGTTTCTCCAAAGATAATACTGTTATTTATATTCTTTAGTCAAGATGAACTTTCATTCTTAAACATATTACTTAGGAATGATTGCAGTAGGCTCTTTTGAGCCACCAACCAGCAGGCAAATGATGACATGGAAACATGTTACTACTTCTGAATGCTCAGTTTTATCTTAGCCTTCTTTAATCGGTTTCTTTTTATCTATGCTTTGCCTTGAGGCTTTTCACCTTTCTTCCATTCAGTACATCTTTCCTGTTTCCTCCCTGGCTGTCTATCTGGCTGTCAGCTGCCTGGCTTCTGGCTCCAGGCATCTCCCTTTCTTTTCCCTAGATTTCTCCTCCCACTTATTCTCTCTGCCTGCCAGCCATGTCTATCCCTCTACTGCCTAGCCACTGGCCATTTAGTTTTTTATTAGACCAATAAGGTGTCTTTGGCAGGCAAGGTTAAACAGCAACACATCTTTAGGTAATTAAACAAATGCAACACATTTTCCAAGTTAAAATAATATTTTACAACATAAAATAATTTGCAAAATTTTAATCCCTGGGAAGGAAAAAAATACTCAATAGAGCCTTCATATCTTATGAGTGAATACCATCAGACTGAGCCTGAAATTATACTTAAAATAATCATGAGACATAACTATATAATAAACGAGACAGAGATCATATTTGCAACTCATAGGCAGAAAGGACAAAGTCCTTATAAGCTTTAACTGTAAGAACTGTACAAGCAGAAAGTCATTCTGTTTAGTACTTCCAACTTAATCACTAAGAAAATTGTTAGAGAATTCCTATAGATGAATAACACATATCTGAGGTTAAAATAAATAATTCTAATAATTATATATATATGCCAATAACATATTAACAGTAATACAATTTTACAAATTGTGGAATTTGTAAAATTGTAAAAATATCAGAACTATTTCAGACATAAATACAGGCTTCCCCTGAAGTGTCCATCAGAAGATAAGAAGCTGCTTTATCTTGAGTACTTACAAAGACTGTCTAACCTACTACAGGATGTCTGTTCAAACATTCTACTTCGCTCTATAATATCCTGCAGTAACCCCAGTCATTCACGTTTCAAGAGCTTAGAGACCACACGTGAAGAATGGCCAAGAAGAAAAAGACAGCAATGCCAATTTTATGCCTGCTCACAGATATCTAGCTTCACAATCTCTAGACAGAAAGTATTTGTAAACAAGCTTGTAAAGATACCTTAAAATATTTTGGAAAGACAGTAATACATTTTAATAGAACAAATGAAACTAATAAATGAAGGAAGCCAATTGTCCTAATAATATATTGCACAGCATTTTCTCCCAAAGAAAGAAGGTTGAACTAACAGGAAATGCCAAGTCCACAGTAGATGTCCAACAAATAATACATTATTTTGAAAATGAATACTTGTGGCTTGGGAAAATAAATATAATGGGAGCATTATGATACGTTGAGTCAAAAGGTACTGAACCACCAACTACTGTAAAGAGGCTATGCTAGCAAATATTACTAGTAAAAATGGGTGTTTACATAGGAAAATGTATATAAAGTTTGAGTAAAATTATTTCATGAAATGTAACAGTGGACCAAGGAAAAATCTATAAGCTGATATTACATATTATCATCATTTTTACTATGGAGATTTTTTTAGACTACAAATAAATATGTTCTATCAACAAAATACTTATTCATTTAAGTTGTTCCAAATACAGCCGGGCGGTGGTGGCGCACGCCTTTAATCCCAGCACTCGGGAGGCAGAGACAGGCGGATCTCTGTGAGTTCTAGGCCAGCCTGGTCTACAGGAGCTAGTGCCAGGACAGGCTCCAAAGCTACAGAGAAACCCTGCCTCGAAAAACTAAAAAAAAAAAAAAAAAATAATCTAAAGGACTCTCTTAACAGTAGTCATAGCTTGAAAATAAGACCACAATTTTAAGCAAAAAGGAATGTATTAGGCAAGTTTATACCAGTCCACAAACAACAACTGGAACACAAGGATAGCATCATTTGATGTTTGAATTTTAAAAAGAAACCACCAACTGAATTTTCTGTTTAGTAATTCAAGGAAAACATAAGGATTCAAAGTTT